GCATCAGCTTTTTTCCTTTTCTTACAGAGTATTTTCCCTCCCTTTCTTTCAGCCTTGGGCTATTTGCCACAGGACACAACAAACCATTGTATCTCCTCTTTCAATCATTTTTCTGGGCTAAATCCATTACTTTAACTTCTTACTGCTTTTTTCATAGCTGCATCATATTTGTGGCTTACAGTCATTCGAGATGTTTTCCTCCTCATTTATTTCATTGTATGAACCCTACTTTAACACAGAAATGCTTGTTATTGGTCCCTGAGCACTCAGCCTTGCACTGTGTGCTGTTTATTTCCATCCTGGTTTGTTACTGCAGTACTGGAGGTTATTCAGCTCTTCCTGTATGACATCCTAATCCTCTGAGGCATTGATACTGCTTCTAGGCTTTGTATGTCAGCATTTTCTTCAATTTTCTAGCAGTTTTCTTCTTTTTTTTTGGTGCCAAGATCATTAATGAGCATATTAAATTAGATCAAATGCAAGACAGACCTTTCAGGAAGCCCACTAGTAATTGATCTAAATTCCTTTCATACCTGATACTCCTTTGCAGCACTGAAGGTAGATGGGAGGCCAACTTTCACCTCTCTGTGAATTACACAATTATATCTATGTTTCCTAGCATGTCACCTGTAAGCATTTCCCATGCAGCAAAAGGAGTTTTTCACCAAACAGATTAAATCTACCCCATTTCCTTTGTCTAGAAAACCAGTTATTTTGGTCAGAGAAATGCAGCTAGTGAGTTTTGCCTGGGGGAAGTCTATCTTGCATCCTTTTACCTCCGTGTCCTTGATTATTGTTGCCCTCCAGATCAGCTCTAGAAGCTGTCATGCTGCTGAGGTCAGCTGTGTGGTTACAAGGATCACTTCTTTCTTTCTTCTCTTTCCCTTTCATTTTTCCATCCATGGGGTGGAATCCAGCACCAGGCTCCCCAAGGGTTCACACACCAAAATAGTGCCCACTGGGGGAAAATGAAGCCAGTTCTAAGAGTCAGCCAAGGCCCCAGTTGGCTCAGCACCTCAAAAACATGTCCAAAGGCTGGGGAGTGCCAAAATAATGGTGCCTCAGTGTGTGATGGTTGACAGTGCCCATTGCTTTGATTCCTGGTCTGATTTAGGCTCAGGGTTTGTGTCCATGTGCTCCCTCTAGACTCCACCATATCCCTGTGACAGTGTTCTGTTTAACAGCCCAGGAGTACAGAAGTCAGAATAATACAGAAATAGGCCTGTCTCCCTGATTCTGGGC